TTTTCATTGAACACATCCTCTATCCTCTTCCACTTGTAGAAGGTAAACATGTAGTGTAAATTGTAAATAAAGTTTTTCATTGAACACATCCTCTATCCTCTTCCACTTGTAGAAGGTAAACATGTAGTGTACATTGTAAATAATGTTTTTCATTGAACACATCCTCTATCCTCTTCCACTTGTAGAAGGTAAACATGTAGTGTACATTGTAAATAATGTTTTTCATTGAACACATCCTCTATCCTATTCCACTTGTAGAAGGTAAACATGTAGCGTACATTGTAAATAATGTTTTTCATTGAACACATCCTCTATCCTCTTCTACTTGTATAAGGTAAACATGTAGCGTACATTGTAAATAATGTTTTTCATTGAACACGTCCTCTATCCTCTTCTACTTGTATAAGGTAAACATGTAGCGTACATTGTAAATAGTTTTTCATTGAACATGCCCTTTTCCCTTTGTAGAAGGTAATTGTGGGCTACAAATTTATGGAAGAGGAGCTGAATGACCAATACTTAGGCTATTATTTTACTGGTCAAAGGACAATAAAATCTAACAAGAAAGTTTTTTTATTTCACTTTTAAACTTCACAATTGTGAATTCTTTTATACCATACAAGATGCAGACCAACCAGCTGGCATTATCCCAGAAGGCCTTCAGAATGGACCTGATCACTATTCTTGTTGATCCTTTCTGGTGTACCACCCTAAAGAACTGTGCAGGACTTTTGACCTGTAAGACTTACTCTTTACACCCATTTCCCAACAGTTGTTGATGAAAGTAAAAGCTGCAGACAGAAAATAAGGAAAAGTTGTATAACTTTTCATTGATTCATACAGTTTATCATCTACAGTGTTCCTTTTTGTCATGTATAAACATTTGCACATAATTGTATTTCATTGACTTTTGTAAGACATTTTATCTTTTTGAAATGTTATCAATAAACATTTGAAGTTCTCAAGTTCTTAATAAGGTAAAAAATTGATTTTATTTTACTCCAATGCAGGTGAGTAGAAAAATATCACAAGTTCAATAGACAAAATTAAAATACAGTAAAACTGGCCTTCAAATACAGTGACATTCAGTTACTATATATTACATATTGTTGCGTCAGCTGACTAGTGTCACGCACGTTTTCTAGAGATATCCTGTTCCTTCGTGAATGCCCTAGCATTTACTAGATTGGGGGTAGGCTGATATATATAAGA